ACCGACTGTTTCAACTATGTGCGGTTCCTGCAGAGCTACAACAGCTCCCACCTTTATGCCTGCGGCACCTACGCCTTCCAGCCCAAGTGCACCTACATCGTGAGTGGGGTCCCCCAAAGCCTGGCAGCCCCTGGGGGGCCCCTCCAAACCTCTCAGCACCCAGGGGGCCCCTCAAACCCATCAGCCCCTGGTTCCCCCCTGCCCCTGGGGATAAGGTCCTGGGCAGCCCCCTCCCAGCCTCAGGAGCATCATCCGAGGGTGTCCTTGTCCCTAAGGGTGGTTTGGGGGCGTCCCCCGTCCCCTTGGAGGGGTTTTAGGGGTGTCCCTGTGCCTGGCAGGTCTTTGGGGGCTGTCCCTGTCCCCAGGAGCATGATCCAGGAGTGTCCCTGTCCCCAGGAGCGTTATTTAGGGGTGTTGCTGTTCCCAGGAGCATCATCTAGGGGTGTCCTTGTCCCTAAGGGTGGTCTGGGGGTGTCCCTGTCCCCGTGGAGGGGTTTTAGGGCTTTAGGGGTGTCTCTGTCCCCAGGATCATCATCCAGGAGTGTTGCTGTCCCCAGGAGGGTTGTCTGGGGTGTGTCCCTGTCCCCTGGGCTGATTTGGACGTGGAGGGATGTGCCATGTCGGGGGGTTGTGACCCCCACTCACACTTTCTCCTTGCAGGAGCTGTCCGGCTTCACCCTGGACCAAGTGGCTTTTGAGGACGGGAAGGGAAAGTGTCCCTACGACCCCACCAAGGGACACACCGGCCTCATCGTGGGTAGGTGGCACCGCCGGGCACCCACTGGGCAGGTGGCAGGGCCCCCCCTCCCTAAAGCCTTCCCTCACAGACGGGGAGCTGTACTCTGCCACCTTCAACAATTTCCTGGGCACGGAGCCCGTCATCCTCCGCAACCTGGGCCCCCACTACTCCATGAAGACGGAATATCTCACCTCCTGGCTCAACGGTAGGGTTGGGGGGTACACGGGGGGACACGGCGGGGACAGCCCCCACCCCGGCACAGCGTTAC